ATATATATATATAATTTCAAGGTAGTATCTTGAATATCTTCTCAATTTTCTTGTGGCATATGTATTTGGTATCCATCTCTTGAGGTTTAAGATGAATTTAAAGTGGAAAACACTCACTGGATGATGATGATGCTGGTATTTTTCCCTCAAGAAGCAACTTTGTTTTTGTTTGTTTGTTTCAAGAGTTTTTGAAAGTAAGGTTATATCTTCAATTTTTTCTTTTCACTTGTCTTCTTGGTTTATTGAGAGTTTAAACATAAGGCTGCTTAGAATCAGACCTGAGTTTCTAAGAGGATAAAGAGAAGTCCTTCTCCTGCACTGCCTCCTTGCTTTCTGGCTGCCATATTGAAAGAGATTTAGGTACAGGTTACTGAGTTTTTGCTACAGGACATTTTCTGTCTCATCAACTTTCCAGATACCTGTCATTATATCTTCCATGTGTTTGCTATTACTTTTAGCTTATAAAAACATTCCCGTACAAATTGCATCTTAGAGAAAAACACACAACAATAATTCTCAGATTGTATTGACATTTGTGAATTTGCTTTGTGAGCAGTTCACACTTCACTGAAACATCATAAACAATTATCAAGTCATTATCACAGACATTTTCATTTGGAAATTTCAAAACACAGGTAAGAGAATTATAAATAAAGAGGCAGATATGTCCAGAAAGTTTTCTATTTCAAGTGAGTTCTTATCAGTGTTATCTTTTGATTAACCTTTTTTCTTCTAAGTACTTACTAGTAATTGGTGGCATAAAAAGATTCTTTCTAGCCCTAGCCGGTTTGGCTCGGTGGATAGAGCGTCAGCCTGTGGACTAAAGGGTCCCAGATTCAATTCTGGTCAAGGGCACATGCCTGGGCTGTGGGCTCAATCCCCAGTGGTGGGCGTGCACGAGGCAGCCAACCAATGATTCTCATCATTGATGTTTCCATTCTCTCTCTCCCTCTTCCTTCCTCTCTGAAATCAATAAAAATATATTACCAAAAAAAAAAAAAGGTTCTTTCTAGGTTTTACTTTGTGACTACAGTAATGGGGTAATGTTGCTTCAACCAGTGTGAAAGAAATTGAAAATATTGTATACTGATTTTTAAGTTATTTCTCAAACTAATAAAATTTTTGATTCACAGACTCTTTCATTCATTAATGAATTTGAAGAAGATAATTGGATCTTCCACACTACTACTACTTTTGAAGGACAAACACTCATATGAATCATACTCTTTTGATACTCTCCTAGACATGGTTAGTTGATATCTCTTATATCCATTATAAAAATGTGATTCTTTTGTTCTTTGATTGGAAAAAAGGGGTGAGAAGCTTAGTGAAAAGACATTGAAAAATAATTACTTTTTGTACATTATTTGAAATAATTTGTATTATTTTATATAAATTATTTGTGTGTTCTTTCCTATAAGTGTGCCTGTGTTTGATTTATGGTGTGTACTTTGTTCTGACCAAATTTAAGTGTGAAAAATAAAATAATAAACTTATTTCAAGGAATGTGAAACATACACTCTTTTAGAACACTATTAAGGTGATATTGTAAGGTAACTAGATATTACAAATAGCTATTTTGCTGGGCATTAATTAGAATCCCCTTGATATTTGAACTTCTATAAATCCTTAATCTGTTCTTAGTAAACTTTAATTTGAGTACTCTTAACTTATCTTCTGGTTTCAGGATGAGTCCATGAGGGCTATGGGCAATGCTGGGATATGTAGCAGTAGGGCAGTGATTGAGGATTTAGTAGACTAGCTGTTTGCCTCAACCTCTGCACCTGATTGCATGGGCCTTGGAAAAGTTATAACATCTGTGAGCCCTCATTCATTTAACACAAAGTGGGATGATAATACCTAACTTGTTTAGTGTTATTATTAGGATCAGAGGAGCTAATAAAACAGAACATATACTGAAAGGAAGAACAGTTGAAGAAATGTTTGATTGTAACCCTCTTTACATTTCCACATGGGCACTCAGATATTTTAAAATTATAATTTATGTGTCATTAGAATCTTGTGAATGATAGACTTTCACATTTTATATGTAATTTAAATTTACATTTGTGGAATCAGATATTTACATATACTGATGCTTACAATCAGATCCTGATTATGCATTTTCATACTAAAGTTAAAAAATTCAGTAAATAGACATACATTTCTTAATATGACACATAATGATACAAAAGTAAAGTAGTAAAACTTTTTGCAAAATTATCTCTAGAACTAGATTTATTTTTTTCCTAATTGGAGCTACCCATATGGACTCTAGTCCCAAGTAATATAGACTGTACTAGATGTTTAAATATATACATATACACAATACACACAAGACTTATTTATTTTGAACTTTGTTGGGCATTATGTAGCTGCAAAGAGGATTTTTTTCTTATTTTTCCTTTTTAAAGGTTTTTGCATAGATAATTTCAAAGCTTGTTTTAAAATAAAATTTTCTTTACATTTTTATAGGATTTAAAACAAAAATCACAAGGTTCCCTGCCACAAAAAAATATAATAAAGCTGAGTGCCGAGCCAAGGTAAAATACATTTCTCATATACTTTTACTGCTTTTCTGACTTGACTCTTTTGGTTTTCATGATTCTGTTTTCTGTTTGGCAGATAGTATTTCATTTAATCATTTTATTAACTTTAAAATATTTTCTGAAGAATGGATTTCCTCTCATGACTATGTCATGGTCATTGTTAATAGTTAATGCATACTTGGCAAGAGATGGTAAATATATAGCTGTGATAAAAATTACCTTATCTTTGTAGCATTGATTATTTTCACAGTATGTTCTTTCCTGATTAACTTTTTGTTTACTTTCTTTTAATTAATCCCCATTTATTTTAAATGAAGAAAGAAACTTAATTAGTTGACCTAATAATGGTGCATTTAATTGGTGGCTGCCTCTGATTTACAAAGAAATGCTTTATGTTTTTATTGGCAATTATTCAAAAAGTCATCTGTTTTAAATGACCGCATATCCATTAGTCAGTACCCAGTATACTGAGATACACAATGTATTTTTGTAATATAACTTTTTACTATTTAAATTGAGAAATTTAATATCACCTCTTACAAATCTTATATAATAAAGAGGTAATATATAAATTGTCCCTTATGCTGTACTGGCATCAAAAGTTGGCAGCACGCACAGCAGGGGTGGGGCCGTGGGGGCATGGCTGGCGGCTGCTTCCGCCAGGGTTTCCACGGCCCCACGGCCCCACGTGTGCACCACAGGGGCAGGGCCCGGTGGCCGCTGCGCATGGCCCAGAGGTAGGGCATCGGGGCGGCACTCCAAGACTCGGGGCTGTCCGCAGTGTTCCGGCCTTGCAGGGCAGGACTCTGGGACTCCGAGTGGTCCTGTGGCACAGGGGACGGGGAGGGGGTGTGTCCCGGGTCTCACGCAATTTCGCGCAACAGGTCACTAGTTATAGGATAAAGGAATAACTGTAAAGAGGAATTCATGATTTTAACTAGGTGTACTTTATTAAAGTTATTAAAAAATAAATGGAATCAAAGTATTACAGAAAATTTACAATTGATCTTAAGGAAGTGTCCATTCAAGTAAATTATTATTGACGGTAGCATGGGCCAGAAGAATACCATGCTATTCTTTGTTGAAGAAAAAAGCCCCCAATATGTGTAGGGCACCAGGGCTGAAGAGAAGACTGAATATTACAGCACAGCCACCTTGGATCATAGCCTTTTGGTAACTTGCAGTCAGGCTACAACTACGCATTGAATGTGTTATTCACTCACACTCTTCTCCATGTCTGCATCTTCTTTATATCCTTCAGGCCTTATTAACAATCTGTTTATTTTATTTATTTATTTATTTGTTGTACAATGCCCTTACTAAAAATTAACTCTGTGAGGTCAGGGAACTTGTTTGCTGTTGAATCCCCAGGCAAATATCTGGCATAACAAATATTTGTCAAATTAACTAACTCAAGACAAGAGAGAGTCAGGAGCCAATATCAACCTGAAGATCGAGGGTAACTTTAACATTCACAATGTGGATGCTACTTCTATGAGAGTAAATAAATGGAAAAGTTATCACGGAAACCTATGACAAAGCTCTACAAAATGACCAAAAAAAAAAAAAAAATGGGAATAGCGTGAAGACTCAGAAGAACTTTAAAAATTATTTATTACAGAGACCAGAAAAAAAATGTTAATAAAACCCAATCTTTGGAATTCTCAAAATAGTTGAGTCGTGATCTCTAAGCAATATGAAATAGAAAGCAAAAGGCTGAAATGAAAGGCCAAGATATGAAAAATGGGAGGAGTGCTGTAGAAAAGATCATTGGGAGGCTAGAATAGAACATCATTAGTGATTCTGAAGAGTAAAACGGATATTGTGAAAGAGTATTTCACTGACATGAATTTAAAAAATTAAAACTCTTGAGGTACTTTTTATGAATGCAGAGCAAAGGAAGACGAGTGGTAATGAGAAAGACAATTATAGGTATAGAGGACAGGATTTCAACAAAAGAACTATAGATATTTTTAAATTTTTCAATTGCCGTTGACATACAATTATATTAGTTTGAGGTGTACAACATAGTGATTAGACAGTTACCTTATGAAGTTTAAACGTGGGGTGCAGGGAGCGGATCTCCCCCGTGCGGGTTCTTGCCTCATGAAGTTTGAAGAATAAAATTCGCAGACTAAAAGGACTTGTTAGTAAAAGGGTGGAAATTTATTGGAAGCAAATACAGACTCCCACGTAGGGAGGGGCTCCCAAGGGGGTAACCCACTAAGCCCCCTTTTTCTAAGGTTTATAAAGGCTATAGTTCTTTTTCTCTTCATGCTCTCTTCTAATTGGACCCCTTCCCTATTTTATGACCCTGTGCTTTTCTAATTGATCACTCTTTTGCAGAATGTCATCTTCAAAGTCCAAAACCCATGTGGTGCCCCCCTATATTTCTTCCCCTTACCTTGTAACATTCCTTTATCTCCTGTGAACATATATTTCCCTCTTTCCAGCATCTGTTGACATTTCTCTATCCTCTGTGAAAGTATGTTTCCTTTTTCCCCATACTCTATGATTTTTCTTTATCCTCTATGAAATTATGTCTTCCTCTCACCTTATCCTGTGGCACCTTTCTATTCACTGTGAATGTATGCTTTCTGGCGGCTCCAAGCCCTCACCTATGCATTCCTCCCCCATGGACCCTCTTTATTCCTAAGACTCCCTAACCTTGCCTATTTTATCCCTAAAATTCCTTTCAAAGTGATCACCTCAATGTCTAGTACCCATCTGATACTATACATAGTTATTACAATATTATTGACAGTAATCCCTACGTTGTACTTTACATCCTCGTGACTATTTTTGTAACTGTCAACTCGTACTTTTTAATCTTTTTCACCTTTTTCATTCATCCCTCAAGCCCCTTCCTATTGTTCTGGGGAACATAAGTTTGTTAAAAGAATTATAGATTTTCTTTAGGGGAAAAAAATGGAGCAGAGGCAATGATCAAAGATATAATTGATAAAAAGTCTCTTAGCTGAGAAAGTCTCTCTTTATAGATGTAAAGGGCTAATTTCTGGGTAGTATAAATGAAAAGAGAGTCATCCATAGTACATCTTGGTAACTTAATTCAATTAAAAAGAAAAGTTCATATTGTCAAATACCCAGACAATAAGACAAATATTATATAATATGGAACAAAAGCTAGACTGACTTTGGTTTCTTCTCTGTGATGAGAACAATATGGATTATTGAAGTCATTTTATACTCAGTTATGTTGCATAGGTGAAAGCAACAAAAAGACATATTAAAATATGGAAATCCTTATGAAACATAGGAAAGGCACCCTTCATTTTAAAAATTGTCTTGATAATCAAGTCTAACCTCAGCTCACACGTATATGAATCAAAATTGAGAAGACATTGGAAATAGATATTGTGAAATCCAAATAATTGTAGCACCAAACTGAAAGGAGAAATGCCCATCTAGTTTTGGCAGGACTTTTATAAGGTAAAGGTAGTTTACTCACAGTAATGTAGATCTATAGCTTCAGGTAATGTTAGCATTTGAAAGATGTATAGAGGCAGGAGCCTATAGATCTTAAATAAATAATTGTTTTGCCTCAGGAAGATTTAAAAGATAAATGTTCATGGTGAGAGTGTTATTTCCTACTCAATTGCCTTTATTTATTGTCAAGGTACTATTGACTCCCCAAATATATATTTCTGAGGAAAGTATCCAGAGTTCCAGACCCACACACCCATAGGCCAGATGCATAGCTCCATTTAGATGACCCACTCACCTCCTCAGTGTGTTTCCAACTGAACTCCTTTCCACTCAAACCTATTCTCTGGTCCCAAGCTCTCGAATAAAACTTTAGCATTGTCAGACAGCTTACCAGGCCAGTAACCTGGGCCTTGATTTTATAGTGGTCATATGTTCCAGTTTGTCACTAGTGTCCCCTCTCACTCTCAAAAGTGTATTCATTTAGACAATAAATTATAGAATTTACCCTGATCATCTTTGTCACTTTTCTTTCAACTTGTATCCAAACAAACTCCAGGTCTTTTCATTCTATTTCTTACATTGAATTTTATCTCAATTCTGTCTACTTCTGACCTTCAATGCCACTACTCTACTTCTGTGATGGCAATAACCTTGTCACAGATATCTCTGCCTCATGCATTTGTTGAAAAAATTAAATAAGGTTATTTATATGAACGTAATACTGTGGAATCTAGCCGTTAGTAGGCACTCAACAAAATAAGTAACTCCTTAGTTCAAAACCCATTTATTCTCCCATGGCCTGTGGGTAAACTCCAAAATGCTAACATGGCTTGTGTGTCTGCATTTTGGTTTCTCTAGCAGCATCTTTCATATCACTCCAGCCTGCACTGTGTGCTTCAGTCCTCACCTATCAATTCTATGACATGCCAAGTTCTCTCTTACTTCTAGCCTCTGCTGCTTGGGGAAAAAAAAAACAAGCAAACAAAAAAAACTACCACCATCACCACCCCATCCCCTCCCCCCCCAATTTGTCTGATTGATTCCTTATTATCTTTTAGGACTCAACTTAGATGTTACATTCTGTGTAACCTTCCCCTAATACCTTTGAGTCAGGGCTAGGTGTCGCTCTTGTAAGCTCCCACAGGACTATGTTTTCCCACTTACTACATGTATAATATTCCTTTGAAGAGATGTCCTGTTAACCTGATGAAGTCATCACCTGGGTCTTGTTAATTATTCTACCATGACACATGGAGCAGTCTTTTAGGAAAGTGGTCTAGTAATATGTGCCAGGAGCATTCAGACGGCAATGCCCTGGAAGATATATCTCTCAGCTTTATCATGTGAACAGATATTTTAAAAGACTTTACATTTTGGTCAACAATAACCATCAATGGATTAGTCAAATATTCTGTGTTCACAAAATTCTATATGAAGTTTTTAAATGATGTCAAATTAGCATTTCTTTTTTCTAATAAAAGCATTGTAGGGTTGGTAAATACTGAGGTTTTAGCTTAAGTCTTAATGAAATCTGGCTTTCAATTTCT